TTAACATACGTTCGTTATTGTGTTTGTTTTAGCGCGAATATTGAAATTAAGTGTATCGTAAAGTTGTATTCGGAAAGAATAAACCAGTTTTATTAAGTAAGGACTTGTGTCGCTAAAGTTTCGTCGGAAACGAAGTTACGGAAAGTTAATTAACAAACGGAGACGTAACAGTATTAATTTAAAGAGGAGGGGGGGTAGATTATCGTTCTGACTGGACAGTCACTTGGGAAATGAAGAATTGGAATACCGCAATCTTTGGTCACACATGCTGAACTATTATTTGGAAATCAAAGGTTTTTTTCCATAGATAGTATTGTTACGTCTCCGTTTATTAATTGATTTTCCGTAACTTCGTTCCGACGAAACTTTAGCGACACAAGTCCTTACTTAATAAAACTGGTTTATTCTTTCCGAATACAACTTTCCGATACACTTATTTTCAACAGTCGCGCTATAACAAACTATAATAACGACGTTAACTTCAACAATACATCTCTCTCTGACTGCAGTTCAATTACTCATTACCTACACACACATTATTGCGTCACGTTGTGACCATCTTATATATACCAGACTACTCTATATCTAGTAATCTCTCGAAGGTTCGAGAGAAGGAGTGGCGTGATAATAGTCACGTGACCTCGCTGACGCAACAGTACTATAAAAAAATCGCATGTTAGTATTAAAATGTTCTGTAATTAACTTTGATAACTCCATATTAGATAATAGGCCTAATTCCTTCAATACAGCTATCGCTGTACTTATTTTGAAAAACAAAGAAAAAAAAAGCATTCTGCAGATTTGGAACTTCTAAGAAGTCTGGAGAAAATTAGTTGATATATTCCTAGACTAGATCACACTGGATTAAGAAGTTTACTTGCATCAGTTAGATGTAAAATGTTCAAATTATTTATGGACTACATTACACAGACATAAACAGTTACAGTTAACACAGTCTCCAACTAACATTACTGAAATTTAGAGTAGAGAGTATTTCGTTGGAGAATATTGTGTTTGGAAGGTTTAGTGTACAGAGTATTTCGTTGGAGAATGTTGTGTTCAGAAGGCTTAGAGTAGAGAGTATTTCGTTGGAGAATATTGTGTTTGGAAGGCTTAGAGTAGAGAGTATTTCGTTGGAGAATATTGTGTTTGGAAGGCTTAGAGTAGAGAGTATTTCGTTGGAGAATATTGTGTTCAGAAGGCTTAGAGTAGAGAGTATTTCGTTACTGAATATTGTGTTGAGAAGGCTTAGCGAACAGAGTATTACGTTAGTGAATATCGTGTTCTGAAGGCTTAGCGAACAGAGTATTACGTTACTGAATATCGTGTTCTGAAGGCTTAGCGAACAGAGTATTACGTTGTGTTGAGAAGGCTTAGCGTGATATGTATTTTATCAACGAAGATCAGGTTTCCTTACCATTGCCACATAGTGGATTAGGTTCATTCCAGGTTTATTAGCTCTTATATCAGTCAATTTCAATAACGACATCATCTTGAAACCAGCAGCATTACCAGCGTACCCGCCCTGAAAATTGGACAAATCTTGTAATCACCAAAATAACTAATCGTCCTTATTTGTACATTAAGTTCAGTAACTTGTTAAAACATACACAATACCGATAATACAGAAGTTAAAAAGGCTTACCGAACCTTGTAATTGTGTAGTTTTTATAAATGAAACAAATAACACAATAATTATGATCAATAAATATACAAGATACATATCTATACTTTAGCATGCTTGTGGTAGTGGTTTAAAAAAAAAGAGCTAAATATTTTAAAGCAATTTATACAAATTATTATCCAATCTGTATAGAGCATTAATTACTTTTCCCTTTGTCACCTAGCAACAGTTCCCCTGTTTACTTATCGAGAACTAAAATGGTGCTACAGTGAACAAAAACGAAAATAATTCATAAAGTGGACCTGATTAATTTAATGTAACTTACTGCATTAAGAAAGTTGCCACATTAATTAATTTTCATTTTGTCACCTAGCAACAGTTCCATTGTTTACTTATCGAGAATTAAAATTGTGCTACAGTGAACAGAAACGAAAATAATTCAAAAAGTGGACCTGATTAATTTAATGTAACTTACTGCATTAAGAAAGTTGCCAGCAACCAGAACCATGTAGAGGATTTCGTGAAGCGAGTGACAGTCTTTGATTTCTGTAATAAAAAATTGCATATATATATACAAGAAACACTAATATAGAAATATTAGGGTACATCAGATGTTCCCTATTAGGGTTCACAAGTCGTTTATTTCGTGGTTGGAACTGTAACTTACCGTTTCAACTTGAGATAATTTAAGCATCGTATATTCACTCATTCAGTTTATAGTTTTGTATATATGTCCAGCTAACTCTTCCCACAGTCCTGGAGCTAGCAGGATCCAGACTTACATTAATTTAAAATGTTATAAGTAGACTAACTGACGTTTTAGGAGCTCATCTTCTAACGGAGTAAACAAAACGTAACAACAGAAACCCAAAATACAACTTTCGACAAATAGAATACAAATTTGATCACATACGAAAAAAAAAAAAGACTTGGTACAAACGTTAATAAACAATACAACATAAATCTCAAGGTTATTAATTTAAAGGGATTAGGGAGAAGAACCAAACGGAGAAAAAACCTAATTCCGAAAAAATCATAATGTTTCAAAATTAAACCACTATCAAGATCAATAACAATATCGAAACACAATATTCCAAAATTAAACCACTATCAATCACAATAACAATATCGAAACACAATATTCCAAAATTAAATCATTATCAAGATCAATAACAATATGGAAACACAATATTCCAAAATTAAATCATTATCAAGATCAATAACAATATCGAAACACAATATTCCAAAATTAAACCATTATCAAGATTGATAGTGGTTTAATTTTGGAATATTGTGTTTCCATATTGTTATTGATCACAATAACAATCAGTAATAATTTACCTTAACTATATCTCGTGAACTAACTCGTTTAAAATCAAGGCAGATTTTTTATTTAGTGGTTAGACCACGAGGTTACATCTCATGTGACTAACTAACTTGCATAATATTTCACAACATTAATATCTGTACGTCACCACTAAGGGAAGCTTGTGTCAGTTACATAATACAAACATATTCAGAATTAATGTGCCCTAGGTAGAAGGTTAGTTAGTACTTTAATATAACTAAAACTTCATAGAGACGGTAAATGAACGGTGAGAAAAGCCATAACAAAATTAAAAATAGAATTCTCTATCTCAGATATACAGTTTCTTCTCTACCTTGTGCTGCTAGTTTCAAATTGTCGATGGAAGGTTCCAGGAAGTTCATGTTCGTGGCAAATTCTTCTTTAAGCAGCATACTTTCCACCCTTAATCTATAACTAGAATAAAACATATAGAATGATGAGTTAGTTGTATACCACTATCGATATAAAACCAGATAAACAATTTAAGAAAATGAGTGGGTATGTGTCGGTCTAAACTTGGCGTTTCACACCTAAATATTCTAATAAACACTGCTGATAACCATGCAGTGGTTAGAGTGACCCTATTCTTTAAAGTCTGTCTAATTATAGTTTTTTGCGTTGACGACAAATTATATTTTACATTTCAAGGCCGATCCACTGAGGTTTATTGGATATTGTGCCGGGTCACTGATCGTAGAGTCTATGGTTCAAACCGTGATGCAGAACTTTCAGCTTTGAACGCGTTATAAAAGTGGCAGTCAATTTCGTTATTCGGTTTAAATAGTCGGGGAAAGCCATGAATGGTGGTGCTGGTCGGCTGTCCTCCCTCTGGTCAGTTCTTAGGGACAGCTACACCTCAGAGCAGGGGTCTCTTACCTAACCTTATGGACGATGATGTGTCAAATTTTGCTTTCTCTTGTCACATGTTTTCGGTATATTTATTCAGCTAAAATTAATTAAATTGTACAGTAAAAGAGAACTAAACAAACCAACCACAAGAAAAAAAACAAACCTTTAGAGTCATCACTTACTTCGATAATATTTGGCCAATTTAAATAATAATGCTTTTATTTTACAACTAATCATTTCTAATTAAAAACAGTGCTAACTTATTATAATCAGATGATGACGTAACAAACACTATACAAAGCTAGTAATTACCTTGGCAACTGAATTAAGTGCATCAGAAACTTTTCAGCATTTCCTAGACGCTGCCGATCTCCATCAAATCCTCGTAGCATTTCAACCTGTAAACAAAAACAGCTAATTACAAAACCTTGCACGTTAAGGTAGAAAACCCTGTAAGTTAAGGTGTAAGTACAGCTAGAAAACCCTGTAAGTTAAGTAGAAAACCCTGTAAGTTATGGTAGAAAACCCTGTAAGTTAAGGTAGAAAACCCTGTAAGTTAAGGTAGAAAACCCTGTAAGTTAAGGTAGAAAACCCCGTAAGTTATGGTAGAAAACCCCGTAAGTTATGGTAGAAAACCCTGTAAGTTAAGGTGTAGGTACAGCTAGAAAACCCTGTAAGTTAAGGTAGAAAACCCTGTAAGTTATGGTGTAGGTACAGCTATAAAACCCTGTACGTTAAGGTGTAGGTACAGCTAGAAAACCCTGTAAGTTATGGTGTAGGTACAGCTATAAAACCCTGTAAATTATGGTAAAAAACCCTGTAAGTTATGGTGTAGGTACAGCTAGAAAACCCTGTACGTTAAGGTGTAGGTACAGCTAGTAAACCCTGTAAGTTATGGTGTAGATACAGCTATAAAACCCTGTAAATTAAGGTGTAGGTACAGCTATAAAACCCTGTAAGTTAGGGTAGAAAACCCTGTAAGTTATGGTGTAGATACAGCTATAAAACCCTGTAAGTTAAGGTAGAAAACCCTGTAAGTTATGGTGTAGATACAGCTATAAAACCCTGTAAGTTAAG